TGCCACAATTATCTCTGTAGTTGAAAAGTAATGTTCATAGTGCGAGCATTATAAAAATTAAAAAAAAAATGTTTATATAATGTTGACGTGTCTACGGTGACACTTTAACGTGAGTTTCGAAGATTTGTATGACTATGCCATGCATCCTTGAACATAAATACTTTTTCCTGGAAGTGTAGAACCTTTCCTGGAACTGCGAGTTTGGTACTACACAATAAATGGGATTTCGTAATCTTTTGTTTTTTTCCTGAGAACTTGGAGAGGCATGTTACCTGTCATGGTTGACATCTGCCATTTCTGAGGCTTTTATGAACTGTATGTTATAAGGAGGTTGAGCCCTTGCGTCATTAAACGATGACGTGCGCTTCATATTGTAATATGTACGACATTATTTGAAAACAAAATATTCAAAGCAACTTAATCAGCAATGTATATGCTACAATTTCCTAACCGATTAATTCGTTCAGATGGTATTAAGCTATAAAACACACTCACAGGTATTATAGGACTTAAATGAAGAACTCTGCTTGCACATCCGAGAATACAGCCGGAAGCAACATCTGCACAATATACTCTACGTTATCTTGGTAGAGATATGAAGAATGTTTGCATTGTAATTGCTTGTCACGCATGCTCTTCTTCAACTGAATAAAATTTACCTTGGGGAAAAGAGGCACGGAACGCTGTTGCGGTTTTCAATTGTTTTCGTAGAAATTTATTTAAAACTAGAAAACATTATGTAGATGTAACTTGAGTTACCCATTCAATAATGTATTTTTTATTGAATAATTGCATTCCTTTGACTAGTTAGGCCCTTGGCTGCAGAAGATGAACAAATCTAATATTAAATACAGAAAATGAGTAGCTATAAAAATGCAGCTCACGCATCATGTACAAAACTATTTCATGTGGTTAAATACGATTTGAAAGGAGGTTATGGAGGGTCGAAGAATTGTTTTAGTTGTTTGCTTTTTAGTCATTTACGATGGGGATTATGTTTATCAAGTTCCAAATGAAGTACAGATGGAATATTATTGGTTTTTCGGTAGAATTTTGCCGAAATTTGTAGGAAAAAGTTTTGAATTGGAAGCGTACCCTAACTCAGAATGAATTTGTGTGTTGAAAATAAACCAAGGGGATTTAATAATGGTTCGTAGACAGGTATTCTGAAAAAAATGTATTTTATTAATGTTTGCTTTAGATGTTGATCCCGAAATTAGACATGCATAAGATATTATAGACCGAATCATTGTTTTGTAAATGTGTAATTTAGTTAGTATACTCAGTGAAGAAGAGCATAACGAGAGGAGGTAGCTGATGCCATCGTTTATTAGCTAACGAATTTCTATGGTTGATATTATTTCGCCTATGGAGTCTTCTGACCATTAATACTCCTAAATATTTTATTGGTTCATTTTGATATGTGAGAGGAGATAGTTCAGTAAGGGAAAAAATGCATTGCATTTCGATTTATTGAATTTGATATGCCACTTTTTAGCCCATGAATATACCTGATTTAAATGATTTTGTAGTAAAGTTAATTGTAGTTTCAAGATTTCTATGTGAACTGTATAATACAGAGTCGTCTGTAAATAATGCTAATGTAACGTAGTTTGTTGAAGGAAAATCTGAAATAAATAAATTGAAGAAGATGGGCGATAAAGCTCCTTGGACGCCTGCAAGAATTGATTTTGGAGATGAAAGTGAATGAATAGTGAATGATGATGAAAATGAATAGTGTTTTAAACGGATGGAAAAAGTACGTTTATATAAAAAACTACGAATTAAATCTTGGAGGTATTGAGGTATTCCTAAAAGTGAAAATTTATAAATTAGACCTGGGGGCCAAACTGTATCAAAAGCCTTTTCAATATCAAGAAAATCTGCACCAACGTACTGAAAATTATGAAAAGCGAGAACTATCTCTTCAGTTAGTCTGACAAAGTATTGGTGATTCGTGTAGAGATGAGAGCGAAAGACAAATTGGAACGAGGAATTTTTAGGTCCATTATTCTTTGAAGGCCCCCTTTTTGAGCGGTTTTTGAGAAAACGTCCCTTTTATAATTTGCATCATTTCAACCAGAAATTACGCCAAAAAATACTCGTTTTTCCAAAAAATTGTACATAACCATTTTTTGCTGCAAGAGCTGACTTTTTTCTCACAATTTTGTTTCAAGAAAAATCGATTAATTTAATTTTGTATTTTCTAAGATATCCGGGATGAGCTGCATCTATGTCGTGGTGGCATCGTGGTTTCGACCGGTTCGGCGTCAGCAGTAAGCTCTGAGGCCACAATTTGAGAGAAACGTCAGCCACCACAACAGAGACGCGGCTCATCCAGTTATAATTTTGCATTTTTCAAAAATACAGTGTTCGGATTTGCGACTAGTACCATTTTTTTACCGTCTTGTGATAGATATGAGGAGAAAATTTAAACAAAACAATTGGAGGGGTCTTTGAGACAAAAAATGTTTTTAAAAAAAATAAAATTGCCTGAATTTCACGCAAGATTACGCCCAAACTACACATATTTTCGAAAAATTGTGCATCGCATTATTTTAAGATCTCCCTTTATAGAATAGATGTCATTGACAAAAATTCTACAAATTATTTGGAAATGCCATCACATTTGTAAATGAATCCTAAGAATTTGACGCTGTAGCGGAAGATTAAATAAAATCGCCAAACCTAGTAGAATTAAGTGGATCATGTACAACTGATGGACATTTCTGGTTCCAAGTAAACTTTTCTAGCTTTAACGTTAAATGATTTAGTACATAACTAATTTTGAGTAAAATATAATTTACATGCCTCATTATTTAATTGCAAATCGTAAGTTATAAATTTCATTTTGGGAATTTTTGTACCCGTTTTCAAATAAAAATTAGGTTACATATTAATACAATCTTATTTCTTTTTTTAATGAAACCAAATTCAAATATCTATTTAAAAATTATGTTTTTAATTCATAGTTTCTACTATTTAGGTACAAGAAGTTAATGATCCAAGGTATGGTACACTAGGGTGTGATCAATGGTGCATTATGCTGGTATTATTGATCACATATCAATAAAATATAAATATTATTTTTCTCTACAACTGTTCAACATGTAAGTACTAAAAAAATATAAAGCATGTAGGAATAATGGTAATATCAGGAGATATACTTTTCATTCTCATATTTCATTTTTTAAATATAAATGTAAATTGTGATCAAAGGTCCAACAGTCTTCCCTGTTGATAAAATACAAATGTTTGAAAATATTCATAAAAGTTTAAGTGCTGAATTTAAATTAAATAATTCCCACGTTGGCATACATTTCAACAAGAATGGGAAGGATTTGAACATCGATTAGAATTTGTATTATAGTAATTAACGAAACAAGTGTATAAAGAAGGGTATGATTGCATGAATGGTATGTTCAAGAAAACGAGCAACGATACGAGTAACGAAATTGTTTTTTTGGCTGCTAGCTTGAGAGGGCTCTCTTTGACTGTGTCAGAACGTTTCCCTGCCAAACACTAGTGCAGCATGAATTGTCTACCAATCAGGGGCAATTGTGTTCTTCAACTTTTCAAGGAAATATTTTTTGTTTACCTCACGAAGTGTCTGTGTGAGAGAGTATAGAATGAGGAACGGTTCGAAATGGAAAGTTGACCATACGGGGGTGTAAGTGTTCCAAGCTTTTACGAAAGGGGAAGGGGCGTTAAAAATCTTAAGTTTGCGGAACCACACGCCTACGCGAGAGAGCAAATGGGTTGTATTTGGTAAGTGGTGTCGTTTTGTTTGGCTGAGCCCTCGGTAGGCAGTAGGAGAAACTCAGATTGAACCCGCTTTTTAGTAAAACATTTTCATCATCATTACGAACATGTTTTCGTTATGTAAAGATCCTATAATAACATATGTTACAAAAATACCCTCTTTTCAGCTAGTTTAATTGTAAAACTGAAATGAACAGGATGTTTCATTTAAAATTAGTTTTGGATATATCTCGAAAAGTGCGCATTGGTTCAATAAACCTGGGCAATGAAAGTTGTTCGAATTGACGGGCCCATCTAATGTTGCCACACTCAAACCTCCACCCCCCCCCCCCGCGGTGGTGGGGTGGGGAAAATAAAAAAAGTTAAATGGTAACACCCATTTTTTAATTTCAGATTCAGCTTTTCCGGAAAAAATACCTAACGTTTGTGTTTATCGTTTCTTTCGTTTTGTGATAGATGGCGCTGTACCTGTGATCGACAAAAAACAAAATTAGTAACAAATTGTAAAAAAATGAGTTTTTCTCCACAATTACACATAAATAAAAAATAAAAAATAAGTGTTCAATAATTTGCATGAAGCTACTCAAGGGTACCAAACGCAGCAGTGTACCCTCATCCAGAGGACCCTTTTTTTTCTCTAAGATAGAAAAATAAGAACCGCCGGCAGCAGCGCTACTGTCTCATTTTCACTTAAACTCGAACACTAATGATTTTCATTCTCTGTTTTTCGTAACTCATTTTAAAATTTGTATTCAATATTTTCAAAAAAGTTTATAATTTTACCTTTCCGATGAAATCATGGCTAATCATTTACTGATTTAAAAACCTGCAAATTCGGGAAACCTTCACGCGGAAGGTCGAAGTGTGAAATGAAAACTTTTTTAATGCTTCCTTTGATTGTCAAAAAGAAAATAAGAATATTTGTGTTTTTAGTGTTAATTACGCGAGACAATCACATCAATTCAAATTTTATCTATGTAATAAATTATTCAGTTTTTCTTTGACATCTTTTTTCTTATTTTCTTAATTTTTTTCGAGTAATTCGAATTTTTGCTTATCGAATACGTGCGGGCTCGATACCCATTTCAGTCGGATACTTCTATTTCTACTACGGGTGTAAATCTGGACGTAGTAGGTTTTGACTCATTCTGTTGTCTTAACACGGCTCCACACATTCGGCATTCGCCGAGCAGCGAGCTACTGCTCGCCCAATCCCGAACAGCTAATGTGTTCGGGGAATGTTCGCTCCTTTTGATGTGACAGACACGCAGTGGGTAGGTCGAGTACCGAATGTTCGGCACTCGGCGAATAGCGATCAGCCCGTCCATACTACACTGGATTCGGCGAGCGGTTGCTCGGGATTCGCCGAATGCCGCATGTGTGGAGCCGCCTTGATGCGTCCTAAAGACCGACACGCGGTGGGTAGGGCGAATACCGAATGTTCGGCGCTCGGCGAATCGCGAGCAACCCGTCCACACCACACGGGATTCGGCGAGCGGTTTGCTTGGAATTCGCAGAATGCCGCGTGTGTGGAGCCGCCTTGATGTGTTCTAAAGACCGACACATGGTGGGTAGGGCGAAAACCGAATGTTCGGCGCTCGGCGAATCGGGGGCAACCCGTCCACACTACACGGGATTCGGCGAGCGGTTTGCTTGGAATTCGCAGAATGCCGCATGTGTGGAGCATCCTTGATGTGTCCTAAAGACCGACACGCGGTGGGTAGGGCGAATACCGATTGTTCGGCGCTCGGCGAATTGGGGGCAACCCGTCCACACTACACGGGATTCGGCGAGCGGTTTGCTTGGAATTCGCAAAATGCCGCGTGTGTGGAGCCGCCTTGATGTGTTCTAAAGACCGACACGCGGTGGGTAGGGCGAAAACCGAATGTTCGGCGCTCGGCGAATCGCGAGCAACCCGTCCACACCACACAGGATTCGGGCAGCTCAATGAACACTGGCGAAGACCTTGTCCTGTCGCCGAGCGCTGCCGCGCGGAGCGCTTTCGTCGCGAGCCGGCCGGCCGGCCGGCCGGCGCGGCGACGGCGGCGTGTGAGCGCGCGTGCGTGCGTGCGGCGGAGGCGTGGCGTGGCGTGGCCGAGCGGGCGGCGACAACGCACGCCCTGAACGCGCGCCAGCGCCCGCGCGGCGGAGCCAAGTCGAGCGCAGTCCGCGGGCAGACGGAGCGCAGCCAGCGATGTGGCTCGGAGGGAGCGCGTGCTCCGCCGGGTGGCGGCCGCCGCAGCGACTCCCCGCCGTCGCCGCCGCCGCCGCGGTGCAACTACCGGCGCTGTTGCTGCTGACGGTGATGCTCGCGGGCAAAGGTGAGCCATGGGTCGCCGGAGGTCAAACGGCGGAGTGGACGAGCCGAGTGCGGGAACGGATTGGCCCGGCGCCGCGGCAGGCGTTTGTTCTGAGGATGAGCAGCCCGGGCGCCGACCAGTGCCCTCGTGGCCTCCGAGCTACTCTGCAGGAGGCCTGGGTTACTTCTTGGGAGAGTTGTCAGTTTTTATCGATCGTTACTGTCCTGTTCACAATAGAACATCGCTTTCATGATACCAAATTACGTTTAAACAGCTGATCCGAAGAGTGTCACTCATAGCAAACCGACACTACTACTTTGGTTGTCACTTCTTGTCGATCATTTCTGTCCTGTTCAGAATAGAACGCCGCTTTCACTATAGCAAAATTACGTTTTCTACTGCTGATCCGAAGAGTGTCACTCCATAGACACCTTATCGTAATCCGACGATCGAGGCGCGAATTCAATGCTCTTTTGAATAATATATTATTCGCAATATCCAAAGGTGGATTAATATGTAAGCAGACTCAGTAAGTAGTTACGACTCCCGATGAATAGGTGTCTCCAATATTTTTATACCAAATTTTATGTAAAATGAAAAATATTTAATTGTTAATTTTGAAAATTGGAAAGTGATACTTCATTTTCTTATAAACAGCAAATACAAATGCGCATAATGTCACTGACATTAGGGTGCCATCAAGTTTGCTCATATTAGGACCCTAAGGTATTAACAAGGACTTAGTAATATCCATTGATGTTTGTTTATACAAATTATTTACTCAATTTCCTCCTTTTCATAAAGCAACTGCTGTTACGCAGATGTTTCGAAACTAATCTGAAACGGATAAAAATGTATTCTTTTGAAGTATATATTTTAGTATGCTAAATATAACTAACCTTTGTTTCATTGGAGACAACTTTCGTTTTTAATAAAGACGCTGTTAATATGTATAAAAGGTGTTAACCTACATCAGATATCTATTGGCCTTGAATAATATATCTTTTTTTTTACTGGTGAATGTCTGAAAGAGAAGAGTATAGTGGCGTTTTCCATTTACTTTATGTCACGGATCCTACATGCGAAGTTTATATTACGTAGATAGTTCACATTAAATCATAATTAAATTACTTTTAAAGTGCTTTCTTTCCTCGTTTGTTGCACAACGCAATAAGTGTTACATGTGCATGCATATTTGTGTGTGGAAGTTACAATACATTTGAAAAAGTATTACTTTGTAATACGTTGTAGTAAATATCGTATTAAATTGGAGTACTAATTATGAATGATCAGTTTTTCTTCTATTACCTCAAGTAAAAATATGTCAAAGTTAAAAAGAAAGAAATGAAATCTGTTTCGAGATCCTTTGATTTTTTGGTAAAGATTTCTTCTAGTCATGGCATTTAGGGGAAAATAATATTGCACACTTTGGTTTGTTTGTATACTATATTTAGAAAATATTTTCTTTCGCTTTAATTTAGAGTTTGGACTCTTTTTCTATGTCTTCATAACAAACTCATATTTACATGTCTTGTCAAAAGATCCAAATTTTAGGGAATCGGACAAATCCAGAACGACAGAATTTATTCATATATACTCGACATACACATCCAAAAAAGTGTCAAGCGACTTCTCTTTTGTTTGGGGATGAAATCTATATTGATGTATATCTTCCATTCGTTTTTTTCTAGTTTCCTTTCTCAAGTTATTTATTAATAGATCCCGAAAGTTCAGGCATTTATTTTACTCGGAATAGGCAGGAAAAAAAATATTCTGGCTAAAATGGTGGTGCACAAAAGCGATGTGAAATTACCGTTGTAAAGTTTTCATTAGCACTTAAATGGAAGAAAACTATTTTTTCTTTGTAATCTTGATTGTACACGATCACCAGATTTTTTTCACATTCTACTGCATCAGAGAATTTTTTCAGTTTCACAACTGAAAATTATTGTCAGTGGCTCACGAAATTTTAGTATGACGAGTACGTAATGTCTTTCACTCCCGACGCTGTCTCTACGAAACGTAATTGTGGTCTCTTGAATCCTGGAATGGCATCGGTAAAAACAGTATCTGGTTTTCGTTCTTCAAACTTGTGTAAGCGCCAGTGTTGAAAAGGGCCGTTGCCATTATTTGCGGCGGCGATGGTGTAACGGTTAGCGTACTGGACTGTTGTACCCAAGTTGGCGGGTTCAAACCCGATCAAAGCGTGGATTTTTAAGGGCGAAAAAATCCGTCATACGCCTTCCTTCGGAGGGGAAGTAAAGCCGGCTGTCCCATGTTAGTAGATTTACTTGCATGTAAAAGATCCTCAAGCCTAAATGACGCCTCTGAGCTAAATTCAAGTCGCCTGTTTCTCGCCCAAGAAATACCTCCTTTCTCCGGTGGTTGGTGAAAGGAGCGTAGCGAAATTTGCGTGGTCAGACGGAAGAGCAGGCCTAATGGCCTGAGTCTCGCCACGTGAAATAAGGCATAATTCAATTCAATTATTGTGTACAGAGAGCTATAACCTGGAAAGGGATCGGAGGCCCTAGAAATGTAGAACGGTATTCCTCTAGAGCGATCAGATCGTGGGCCTGAATGAAATAAACCCAAAAATCATAACTGTTATCATCTTTCTGTTCTATAACTGTTCTGCTTTCTCGTAGCGATTTTTAACACTTTCTGGCACTATTTGCCACCTTCTTGCCAAATATCGTCCCGACGTTTGTAGACAAAGACAAAACGCTACAATGCGTTCACATTTTTCAAGCTGACAAGTACAATATATTTCTAGTTAGATCGAGATTGGTGCCAGGGCAGAAACAAGGAAAATAATTAAGGAAAAAAAGAAAAAGTACCAAATAAGGAAAAATACTGAAAATTGGCCTTATAATCTAAAATATGCAAAATGAGAATTTTCTAAAACAACGCCAGAAATTTTGTTAAGCGATTCCTACTGTCAAATGTCTTGAAATCTTAACAATAATAAAAACACATGTTGCCAAACTTCCGGGTTCTATTTACTGATGTACGATAAAACATACAATCAATGTTTAAAAAAATAATTTTATCTGCATGATGTTGATACTTCACATCAATGTTTAATCAGCATTTAAATATTTTTTTGTTATATGAGGCTTTACATAATCACTATAGATAGGGACGCTACGTGCCCTGAGGCCAGAGCACCTAATGTCGTAAATCCAGGCCTGCTTCGAAAGGCGCGAGTGAATCTGCTTGTGTTTGCTGGAGGCGTCTTCGCACGCGTGACGCCATCTCCGCCCAGCTTACTCAGCTGCTGCTCCGGAACGTTAATCGCTTGCGCGTGCTGTTTGTTTACACACGAAATCCGTAACACATTTGCTTTCTCATGACACCCGCGATATGAATGTTGTTGCCTGCGCTGGCAGTAGCTAGGCGAAGGGACAGGCGAGGACAGAGATCAACTTAGTATCCCATATACCACACGGTTATTTAAAATTGCAACAGTTATTCGGTAACATTTATTTTAAGTATATCTTGCAAACGTCATCAAATTCAATTCTTCATCAAATGAAACTTGAAACACAGTATCCCTTTCCTAACTTCTCAGCCATCCTTAATAAGGAAAACTTGACTTTTTCCGGGTATCATCCTCCAGTTTGCGCGCGGCGATGGTGTAACGGTTAGCGTTTCGGTTGCACCTGAGTTGGCGAGTACCCGATCGAAGCCGTGGATTTTTAAGGGCGAAAAAATCCTTCGCACGCCTTCCTTCGAAGGGGAAGTAAAGCCGGCTGTCCCATGTTAGTAGATTTACATGCATGTAAAAGATCCTCAAGCCTAAATGTCGCCTCTGCGCAAAATTCAAATCGCCTGTTTCCCTCCCAAGAAATACCTCCTTTCTCTTCTAGTTGGTGAAAGGAGCGTAGCGAAATTTGCGTGGTCAGAGGGAAGAGCAGGCCTTAGTCTCCCCACGTAAAATAAGGCATCAATTCTATTCAATTCAGTGGGGCCCCGCCCCATCCGGAACCAGCTCTACTACTAACATCTCGACTAGTGTCCTAGCATGTGTGGTGCGTGTACGCGTAAAGTAAGGGATGAGGATAGGACTAGGAAGAGGAAGGAAAAATCGCGCGCGGTTTGGTGCCCTTCTTTGAATTGAATTGAATTAATGGCTTATTTTACGTGGCGACACTCGGGCCATCAGGTCCGCTCTTCCGTCTGACCACGCAAATTTCGCTACGCTCCTTTCACCAACTAGGAGAGAAAGGAGGTATTTCTTGGGCGACGAAACAGGCGATTTGAATTTTGCTCAGAGGCGTCATTTACGATATTTTACATGCAAGTAAATCTACGAACATGGGACAGCCGGCTTTACTTTCCCTCCGAAGGAAGGCGTACGAAGGATTTTTTCGCCCTTAAAAATCCACGGCTTCGATCGGGTTTGAACCCGCCAACTTGGGTACAACAGTCCAGTACGCTAACCGTTAGGGACAACTAGGGAAAGCTACATAAAAGAGCCGCCACCCGCTAGTATTATCTTCCAGACAGCGGCTGAATTCGATCTAGCTAGGTAGCTGGTTCCGAAAGTCCTGCCACCGTCGGAACTGGAACTCTAGGACCACCCGGTAAGAGGCACTGCGGTGACATCATTAGATGCCCTGAGCATATAAGTCGGTATAATAATAATAATAATAATAATAATAATAATAATAATAATAATAATAATGTCTTTATTAATGGCGAGGCTCAGGCCATAGGGCCTGCTCTTCCGCCTAACCACTGAATTTACATACATTTAGAATAGTAACATTTTAAGAGGGGAAGACAGGAAGACATTTTAAGAGGGGAGACAGGAAGCTGTACATTTACGTCTGGGAAAACAAATCTAGGGACCATCCCGGCATACGCCTTAAGCGATTGAGTAAACCCAGAAAAACCTCAATCAGGATGGCGGCTTAGGGCCGAACATCGAAGTATAAGTAGTAAAGAGAAAATATAGTAATGGTGCGGTGGAAATCAGCGATTTTTCCATAGAAAAACTTTAATGTCGGGCCCTGGTAATAAAAAAGAGGATAAATCTTGTTCTTAAAGGTAGTAAATTACTTCCTCTAAAAGGTTTTGTAGTCAGATTGCACGTCTTGTGGGTCCTTGATACCGAAAAATCGATTGAAAACGTCCGTCCGCCACAACTCGTTGCCATTCACGTTTTCTCCAAAATTCATATTTCCCTAAACGAACATGATACCCTGCCAGCGTGAAATGGATATTTTGATTCTGAGGAGTTCTTTACAGGAAGGCGTGACATTTACGCAAACAAAATACCAAATGTATACTGTCTCGTTATTGATAACGCAGTATGCAGAAAGTATTGTAATGTTGTGTGAAAAAAAAAACGGCGCATTTTACGATAGAAAAACCTTTATTGACGGAGCGCTGGTAACGAAAAAGTGGTTAAATCTAGTGCATATAGTTGTTTGTAGTAAATTATGTCTTCTAACATGGGAAGATACTCCGGAAATCCGACACGGTGGTGTCCACGGAAGCCACTTTCTCCGTTGCCGAAGGGGTTAGACTCAAACCTCACATGGTAATAAAAAGCCGGGAAGGGATCCACGTGGTCGATGTGACTGTCCGCCACGAGGATGGGTCTAGCCTTCTGAAAGCCGGAGAGGAAAAGGTGGTAAAATACCAACCAGTCATCCCCCTGGCATCCCAACTTCATGGAGTACCCAACGCCAGAATCCTGCCACTGGTGGTGGCAACCTCTGGGGCTATGCCAAGATTTACAGTCAGTGCCCTCAAGTCCCTGGGGATCACGTCTTGAGGCGATCTACTGACTATCTCATTAATTGCTCTCAGAAGCTCTATTAAACTTTACACACAATTTGTAAATTACGATGCAGCAATTTAGCATTGCTGGTAGTAAATGGAGAAAAGAAACTTCAAGGTCCTGTGGGGAAGTCTAGGGAACCCATTCGATCCTAAAATGCCTAGGAATTACCCAGTTACCACGACTCTAAGTGGGAAGTGTATGCTATTTAATGTAGCATATAGAAAATTGTGCAGTCAGAATCCATGTTTTCTGGATCCTTGATACCAAATATCGAATGACAGCAAAACGTCTTGTCCATCCGTCAATCCGTCTGTTGACAACACTAGCGGCTAAACTGTAAGTAAAATTGTCACCAAAATTGATATTCTTCGATCGATCTGACTGATGTTACGGCCCCTTGAATTTGAAACAGATATTTTAATTTTGGGGGTACTTTACCTCTGGTACATTTTCAAAAGGTTTATTTTTTAAATGAAATGTGTTCATTATAAACATCTTCAAATAAGGTAATGTTCAATTTTTCGAAAATGTGCGAAACACATATGTACATATATTTTTGCGTCACACATACGCAATTTTTAAAATTTAATATTTTCTCAGAAACTGCTTCAAATTGTTTTTGACGTATGTAGCAAAGAACGGTAAAGAAAGTGGGACAGCTATCATTTTCGGCGCGCTATCGTTTTTCCAGTGTCTCATTTTCCTTGAATTTTCAGAATCTTCGAAAATGTTTAATTTATAAATTATGCGAGAAAGTGTGTGGTGATGTAGCACCACTAGTTTCTTTAAATTTTCCCCTCATATGTATCTCAGGTCCGTAAAAATGTGCTGCCGGATCTTTTTTTCGGCCAACTCTGTTATTTAAAAAATTGCAAAACATTAACATTACAAAAGTACAACTTTGAAGACAGAGCTTTTTGTCTTAAATGAAATCTGTTATAAAAATCAGATCTTTAAATGAGAACATGTACATTTTTGTTGAAAAAAATGTTGTTTTCGCGTATTTCTGTTTGCCGTTAATGTAATTTATTGAAAAAACATTTTTACAAAAATTGCTCCAAATTATTTCTCTAATTTTTTTATGAATAGTACAAAGGACGCTTGAAAATGGAGCAGGTATAATTTTCGTTAAATTCTGTATTTTCGAAAATTGATTACGTTAGAAATAATAGGAGATACTTAGTATTTTAATGAACGGCGTAAGTGCGTGACTACGACTGAGCATAGCGGGTTAACTCCATGGACCAGACTTCGAATCTGGAGATAAAATGTTTTCTAGTTGGAAACACCTTTGCAGGTTTATGAAGTAGAACAAAATATTGTGTTCCCAACCAGCAACAATGTATGGTTTGAGAAAGTTTGTGCTGTTAGTACAGCAAGTTTTTCATATCTGAATTAATAAAAGAGTTATTTAATTACTCGTAACATGTGAAAAGCCGCATCGGGTGAAGGCCAAAGAAGGTGGAGTCAAAACTGACGTGGGAGTTTCCGTTTTACACATAACAGTGAGAATATTGTTTAACATTTTTGAAATATATTGCTGAAGGAATCTGCTGAATATGACAATGGAAGAGATAGGATAAGGGGGAAAAAGAACAGGAGACTGACATTCTGACTGATATTCAACAAAATATGGTAACAAATCTAAAAAAAATCACCTTCAATTGTCAGTTTAACTTTCACACGTCTAAAAAAATTAGAAACACTAACAAATACACTTGAAAAAAGAAAAAGCTTGGACGGACATATCTTTTGAAACAATCATTTTTCAGTATCAGCAAAACTTAAAAGTGTAGTTAGTATATCAAAATATGAAGATCGTTTTTTGAAGAATTATATAACTGTTTCTGTGAGAATCACCTATACGAGAAAGTGAAAACGCAATATATCTCCATATACTAGTGATGTATATATACATGGAGAAACAACCATTCCTCAGTCATGAATGTAATTTAGAGCGGTGTGATTTTTTTAGGGGGGGGATGGATAGAACAACAAAAATAAAACCTTCGTAGGCATTACAAACTCTGTCGTGGCAATTTGATATTGTAAAACATTGCTTTTCTTAATGGCATCCATCAACTTAAAAGCAAGGAAGTGTGGAATTCTTGATAAAGACGTCACGCGACACATTTGTGTAAGTTCGAGATAATTACATGGAGAAAGCAAAAGACCACCTCCCCAGAGGAAAAAACAAAACAAAACAAAAACAAAGAACTTAAACGTGACTCATGCAATTAACGGGACATGCATATATTACCACCACTACTACAATGTTCAACAAAATAATAATTTATATGAATATTTCAGTAGATCATTTTACTGAATCTTCCCACGCATAAATACAGGCTGTCATATCTGCGTTTCTGACGAAAAACAGCCTGTCTCGAAGAGTTTCTATTCCTGAGGAAGCCATAGGAAATCGACCAGTCCTCAAAGATTACAGTTAGCCACTATTCCCCCTGATCATTAAGGACTAATGGATTCTTCAGAGACCACATTACTATTTCGACAGATGTCGGATATCAGTCAGTATCTATCAGTACCTATCAGTCACGCATCTGCGACCCCTCTATTTTAGATTATTCCCTGGAGGAATAAGTAGAAGGCAAATAAGAAAGATGTGTAAATTGAATGATTGATTATTTCGTGTTTCCTGGCACGATAACGTTGATGGTGGTTAGTCCCATAAGCGTAGTGTATTTTTATCACGGGAGGTTGCGATGTGCTTCGCCCGCCTCGTTGCACTCTAAAGGTGGTTAGTCCCATACGCGTATGTTTTTTTTTATCACGGGAAGGTTGCGATGTGCTTCGCCCGCTTCCGTTGCACTCTATGGTGGTTAGTCCATCACCGTAGTGTATTTTTTTTATCAAGCGGAGGTTGGAATGTGCTTCGCCCCGCTTCGTT